ATTTAATTATTCAAAACATGTTTCGACTATACCCAAGTAGCAAACAATATTGGCGTAATATTGGTGCGATATTGGGTATCTCGGCCAAGATATCCGATATTGCGCCAATATTGTCAAGCAATATTACGCCAATATTGTCTTACCAATATTGGCAAACAATATTGCGCCAATATTATCCCATTATCGTTTTACTAATATTGTTATGCCAATATTGGCGAAATATTGTTTGCTTTATACTAAATTTTACATATTCCTTATATATTGGTACGCATGCGTACCAATATGTAAGGAACATTCATTTAAACATAAGGATTCATAATCCTTTAGTTTTGTTAAATGTGTTTAAATGTTTTTGTTAAATGTATATAATCTTTTTACTTTAACAGATATCCTTATTTTATTAATTTTTTTACAAAAACAAATAAGAGTTCAAAATAAAAATTTTTATTTATGAAAAGAGAAGAAGTAGGAAAAGTATTTTTAATTCAACATTTACAGAGTGAATCAGGAGAAGAAGTGTTGGTGATTTATTTTGAAACAGATTGCATCACGAGAAGAAGTGGTAAGAGTAATAAAATTCTCTTATTCAACATTTACGGATTGAATTACGAGAAGAAGTGGTTGTAATTGATTTAAAACATATTGAATCACGAGAAGAATAGAAAAAATGGGTGCGTCTTAAAGACGAAATAACCCGCAATAACCCGCAATAACCCGCAATAACCCGCAATAACCCGAAATAATCCGAAATAACCCGAAATAACCCGAAATAACCCAAAATAACGTACAAAATAACTGTAATAAACTTAATCTATTTAAATAATTGGCCGATAAGACAATATGCTATATGATTGTAGAACAATTAACCCATAATAACCCAAAATTACCCGAAATAACAAAAAAAATTGTAATAAACTTAATCTATTAAAAGTTTACCGATAATACAATATGCGATATGATTGACTAATAACTAACCCAAAATAACCCGAATTAACTCGAAATAACCCAAAATAACCCTAAAAAAATGTACCGATTAACTGTAATAAAGTTAATCTATTCAAATAATTGACCGATAATACAATGTGCGATATGATTAATAAATAAATAACTAAAAATAACCCAAAATAATCCAAAATAACTCAAATTAACCCAAAATAACCCAAATTAACCCAAAATAACCCAATATAAATCAAAATATCCCGAAATAACGTAAGAATTAATTGTAATAAACTTAATCTATTCAAATAATTTGACCAACAGTTTATAAAAAACCCAAATAAAGAAGATGTTGCATTAAGGGCATTCTGCATAATAAAAGTTCAGTGGTTCAAAAAATACTTATTTGAACATTTATGGAAACAAAAAAGGCACCTAATAGAAAACAGGACTAGTTGGAAGCACTACTGATCTGCAAAACACGTGATTGAACTTTTTAACAATGATTAATTTTAAATGATAAAATGATGCGGAAAAAAAACTTCAAGATTATAACAGTTTAACTTGTTAGTTATAAATGAAATTTTAAACTTCTTCTAACTTAACAGCTGTTAAGTGCAAATTCACGCAAATTTCTTTGTGCGGATTTAATTTCCAAATGAAATTTTATTTGTTTAAAACATTACCAATGTCCCGAAAATATTGTACATACTACTAATGATAATGTCCTAAGGGAAATGTTTGTGTTGAAATCATTTCGAAAAGTTAAGTTTTTTAAAGAATAGTGTTACAAAAAGCAAATAGTATAATTATTTACTGAATTTTTATGAATTCAAAGAACTTCGACAGTGCTTTTTGTCGACGTCTTGTTTAAAATAATTCTTTAAAATTTGCGGTTAGAATTTTTAAAAGCTCTTTTTTCTATTTTGTACGACTTTCGTTTTGTATTTATTTCAATATGAATCGATTAAAGAAAGATCAAGTCAAATACCCTTGTGTAATGTGCTCCAAAGAGTGTGGAGATGGAACAATTTGTTGTGGGACATGTAAAAAGTGGGTTCACAAAACCTGCCTTGAAATGAATGACGAACTTTTAAATCAATGGAAAACACCGAAATTGAGTTTTTTTTGCCAGCCCTGTTGTCATGTTGGAGATGAACTTGATTGGAAAAAAAGTCTTACAAGGTATTTTTTAATAATTATTAGTACAATATATTAGGTTTGTTTAAAATACAGGGTACTCATGGAGGCAACTACCAGCAAAGTAAAGCAGGGCTTTTAAAGATTTATTAAAGTTTTATTTCTATTAAAAATGTTATTGTACAATCGTTTCAAACTTTCATTCAATAAAACAAAAAGTGCATGTATATATGTACAATTGGTATCAAGTTTTATGAAAACTGTCTTTTTTTTGCTGAAAACATATGTTACTCCACAACCTTGACCATCAGATCTCATTCCAGGTTTAGAAGATTTAATATCCATTTCTCTAATCAACAAAATGCATCCTCAAATTCTGCAGAAGTACACACCAAGATCTACAACTGGTGACGGCAACTGCCTCTTCCGGACTGTGTCACTAGCTTTATATTATGTTGAAGATCATCATTTGTATCTCAGGGTTCTCACATCCATTGAGTTGATACAGCACAGAAGTAAGATTTATTATTTATATTGATTAATTAAGTAAATATGGTTTATAAAAATGAATATTGTATTACCTGGTCATTCCTCTTATTGGTTTCGAATAAATAATAGTAAGAATCCACAATTGTGAAAAAGTAACTTGCATTTATATCAAAAGCAAGGTAGACTATTATGGAATGCTCTATGATATAAACTGCATATATGAATGTATAAATGTTTATTTTTAGATTGCTATGATTTATCATCCAAAAAATATGTTTTCAGAATCTAATATTTCTAGAAGCTGCTGAGAATATCAAGATATTGGTCAATCCTTCAAAACATATGCCAGAAACAATTCCAAAAGGTCCAAAAGAAAATGTTTATTTTCTTGTTAAGAATAAAAGAAAATATTCACAGACGTGCAAATGGTTTACAAAGCTGCTTTGTCGATGACTGTGGGGCATGGACAGGAGCAAGTGGAGCTTCGCCAGTTTCTTTTTACATTCGTCTATCTTCAGGTCATTTTAAAAACGTCATAAAAAGGACTGGAAAATATTGTAAAGCTGTTAAAAGTAACAAAAAATTTACTTACATTGATTTAGAGCCACAACCATCGCCATCTGAAGTCATACAACTTCATCGACACTATACGTGTTTGAGAGCAAGCAATACCTTCAAACGACGCATTAGTTGGATAGAACAAGGGGAATTGCCAAACTTAGAATATGTCTGCCTTGTTGAATACGTTAAAAAACATCCTGGATTCTGTCCACATGGAAACAGCAACAATGCACAATCTACTTATGTACGAACATCCAGATCAGCAATGGATTCTATTTCCTTGCTAATAAAAAACCAGACAACCTCGAGAGATTTACCGTTTTCTTTATGGTTTAGCAGTAGTAAACCATAAAGAAAACGATGCTCCAAGGGATCCCAAACAGATACGCAACAAAAAATATTACGATAAGATGAAAAACACGACATTAAGATCAGCAGGAAACCAAAAAAACTTCGCAGACAATGTTCAACAAGTTAGTTATGTTCTTCATGATCACCCCTTTGTGCAGAGTTTAGAGCAGACAAAGAATAAGATTCCAAATGTAATTCTTTATTTGGAAGAACAATACAGCAAATGAAAGCTATGTGTTCAAGTGCTCGTCCATCAATTATTGGGGTTGAACGAACCTTTAATCTTGGAGAAGGGTATGTCACTGTTACAGTATTTAATATGCAAGTTGTAGTCCGCAAAGAGCTTTAATTGAATCCAATCTTCATTGGGCCATTGTTCCTTCATGGTGATGCATTTGATGGTACATACGCCCATTTCTTCACACACTTACGGAATAAATTTAAGGAAGTGTCATGCAAAACTTAAAATTTTATTTTCGGAACTGATCAAGAAAAGGCTATGATGTCAGCAATAAAGTTTGTTTTTCCAGAATCCAATCAGGTCTTGTGTATCCGACACATAAAACAAAATGTGGAGTCATATCTGGCAGACAAAGTTGGACTTGAAAAAGAAATGCGTCAAGTTGTTATGAACGGTTTGTTTGGAAGTCATGGTGCAGTGTTGTCAGACGATTCGATAGTATTTGAAGAACGAATTAGATTTGTCCAAAACATCTGCAAAAATAAAAAAGGAGACAAATTTCTAAAGTATTTAGATGAATGTCTTGTCCCAATACTTAAAGAAAATGTGATGAGACCTCGTCTAGACAGAAAAGTCCAAAAGATAATTAGACAAACAATAATGCCGAATCAGTCAATCATATTCTAAAATGTGCAGTTAACTGGAAACCAAAACCGCTAATGGAACTAATTACAAAAATTTGCACTCTAACAAAAAATCCGTTATATACAACGAATTGTATCTGTCGCTATTGCACTAACGGGAAATCCGTTAAGTTAACGAATTAAAATTTTAACGAATTGAAGTCCGTTAGGAATAGTCCGTTGAATTTACGGATTTATTTCGTTAGTGCAACGAATAATCCGTAGTTATTAAACTAAGCAGCAAATTTTCCGCGGTTGTTATTCCTATGAAATAAATGTGTTAATAAGTTATTTTAGTGATTATTTCGTTAAAATCACTAAAATCTAAAATTAGAGAGGCCAGAATTGTGACTTCATAACCAAAAAATCCTTATATTTGTTAATGTTTGCATTTTTATTTAATTGCATTATTTTATTTCGATATTCTACATTAAAACGTTTTAACCAAATATTGAAAACTAATCAAATGTTTATAATATTTAATCCAATATACTTTAAATTACAATAAAAATACATAAAAAATTAATACACTATACTCAAGCTAGTACATTTATATAAAAAATACACATATATATAATAGATGATTAAAATAAACCAATCTCAAGATAGTTTTTGGTAGCTAGTTTTGGTTTGGTTGGTTTAAATAGGTTTTGGTTTTGAATACTGTTGTTACTCGTACACAGGTTCGCACTTTAAATCGGACACCATGCTGTCAACTCCTTAAAGATTAATATAAAACAAAATAAGGAAAATATGGAAACTTAATAACATACCTAGTATAGAACCAAAATAAAATGTTGCTGATAGCACTATAGAAAATGTTTTTGGTAATTCATTATATACAAATTTCAATTCTAAATTTTGTTATTTTAATTATCTCTGATATCGTTTTTTTAAAGATAAAGTTAAATGGAACAAGTAAATTATAATTTTATTAAAATGTAAATTAAAAAAAAAGTATAAGATTATCTTGATATTATCTGATAACTGAAAGACTCTATACATTTCACATACATCAATACCTATCAGGAGCAAAAAATAAAGTCTCTAACCTTTAAAAAACTATGATAAATCAAAAGAAATGCAAGTTAAAATATAATTTTTTTTTAAATATACTAATTCAAACTTACAGTGGGATACCACATGCCACGTGTCTAAAACAGTAAATTCTAAAATAATACAAACACATTAGATATAAACTTAGATTAAACTCAACTAAATAAATATGCAAGTTACAATATAAATTCTACAACCAATTTAAACCTACAATGTGACACTAAATGCCATGCCTCTAAAGCAGCAAATTCTAAGATAGTATAAATAAATAAGCATGAATGTTAAAAGAAAAAGAAGTTCCAATATAAATTTTTTAATTTTACAACTAGTTTTAACTTACAGTGGGATAACAAATGCCATGTGTCTAAAACAAAAAATTCTAAAATAATATAAACACACCAGTATAATCTTAGTTTATGATATTGGATGCCACATGTTTAATTTGGAAATTAATAAAAATTGCAATTTATAAAAGCATATTAACTAGCCATGTAAACTTAGCTGTAATTAACCTAAACAAATATATCTATCAAAGATGTTAACATTTTTAACTTTACAACTGATTTAAACTAATATGGTATGTTACTACATGTCATATGTCAAAAATATAAAGTTAAACAAGACTATAAATAATCCATTTAGTCTATATTATAGAAATAATTGTTCAACTAAATCTTTACTTCTAGTAAAGGATTAGTTGAACTTTTATTTCTATAATATAGACTATATGGATTGCATATATTCTTGCATAATTTTCTAGATTTAGACATGTAGTAACTTACCATATATTATATGTATTAACTTACCATATATGTTATTATATATTATTTAGTAATACTAATGGCTTTTAATTAATAAAATAAAATAATTAAAAATTAAAAAATAAAATAAATCTTATTGTTAAATTTTCTGTATAAAGCTTTATATAGAAAATTTAAAATAAGTTAAATAACCTTCGAAGTAATTTAAATTATATTTATCCATTTGCTTTGTCTACTAAATGTAAAACTTTTTAAAAAATGGCATATTACACTTACTGCAACCAACTTTTATCTACGATGTAAATGTAAATGTGAGAAAGACGCATTCAAAACTTTATCATTTTCAAAATAAAAAGATATATTATACTGAAATTTTTATTTGACCGATTAGAATATTTAATCCGTTGAATTAACGAAATTTCAAAGAATCCGTAAATAGTTAATTTTACTCCGTTAATTCATAGTCATAAGAATAAAGTCATAACAAGTCATAAGGATATATTTCTTATGACTATGGTTAATTTTCTGGTTTTTGGTAACGAATTAATCCGTTAATTTGACAAAAAAGCGCAATCCGTTACTTTTTTTAACGGACTGTTTTTAGAGTGTGGAATCTAGTACAAGTTCAACAAAAAGTAAGTGATATGTTAATGCTGTTTGCAACCTCATAACATACATTGGTAAAATCTTTTTTTGTTTTACAGGATCTGCAGCGAGCTATAACTGGTACAGGACCATTTACTCTGGCACAAGAATACCAACAGCATGTTATTTCTCCACAACAATGGTCACAAATGTCAACTGAAGACAGACATAAAGCAGTGAAAAGGTAATTCTATACGAGGATACCAAGCACAATGTTAACATCGACTGACTGAAAACTCAAAGTTCCTATGCCCAAGGGCAGTAAAAAACCAGGTCAAAGGAAAAGGCCAACAGCTGAACGATCAATGAAAATGCCGAAACAGCAAAGAAAAACATGCTTTGGCAAACAAACAGAAATAAACTGGATTGTCTCCTTTAAATATAACTTTATAACTTTACGACTTGTAAATAATAAGAAATTAACAGATGATTGGCGCACCCAAGAGGGCCCGATTTCTATTAAATGTTTAGCGAAGCATTTTTTATACCACTGATTTTATAATACGCAGCATCCCCTTAATTTGGATCTCTTTTAAATAGTTAAATGTAAATCGATGAGCCACTGTTGCGAATATCTTTATTTTTCACTTTATTATCAATATGAGTCAACAAATTTGAGTGATTTCAGTAAATTATTTCAATTGATTAGGTTTATTGAATTTAATTTGAAAATTATTTGTACGTTTAATAATTTGTCAATAATATCGCATATTGTCTTAAAGGTCAATAATTTAAATATGTTAAGTTTATTACAGTTGATTCGTACGTTAATATGGGTTTTTGGGGGGTTATTTTTGGTTAAATTATTTTTCAATCATGACGCATATCGTCTTATTGGTTAATTATTTGAATAGACTAAGTTTATTACATTTAATTCATACGTTATTCTAAGATTATTATGGGTTGATTATTCTACAATCATATCGCATATTGTCTTATTGGCCAAAATAATTTGAATAGATTAAGTTTATTACAGTTAATTTGTACGTTTTTTTGGGTTATTTCGGGTTATTTTGGGTTATTTCGGGTTATTTGCGGGTTATTGCGGGTTATTGCGGGTTATTTTGTCTTTAAGACGCACCGGAAAAAATATTGCTATACTTAAGTATCAAGATTAAAGTAGTAAGTTTACTCTTAAATGAAAACACTTTAAGAAGATTTTATCTATAAAATATATGTTTTATATATATTTTGTTAAAGATTTCGTTTAAGAAATAAATACGTCATTATTATTGTTTTTAACTGTTACAAGATATTATTTTACAAAAGGTACCCCTGCTTGACACATAATAATATCAATAATATATATATATATTATAAGTTAGTCTCAGATATCTGAGACTAACTTATTTTTTTTTTTTTTTTTTACTACGATCTTATAAACCTTTATGAATTCTTATAAGAGATCTTATAAACCTTTGGGAAAAAAAAGAAAAAAGAAAAATCTGAACTCGATTTTTTTTTGTGTAAAAACGTGTCGTCATTAACAAGCGTCATTAACCTTAACAAAATCATTTATTCAAAAGTTTATTTTTAAAATTTTTTATTGACGTTACTAATTCTCGAGTTTTTTTAATTGCGCTTTTCTCCAAATACGTAAAGAAGGCGTTTTGAAAAACAGCTGCAGTATATCAAAAACAAAGAAAAGAAGCAATTTAAATGAAAACTTTAGAAGATTGCTCATAATGAAACAAATTTATTAATTAAAATTAAACATATATAAAGTAGAAAAATTTTCCTGCTGTAAATGTAACTCCCAGCAAAAATAGAAAATTTATTTTGATTAAAATTTAATTGCAGAATGTAAGGACCTTTTTTTTTTTATTTAGCCGCACCTGAATTCCCAATTTCGCAAAAACGCTGAATAAAATTTTTTCCTGGGTAACACCCTCATATATTATATATATATATATATATATATATATATATATATATATATATATATATATATATATATATATATATATATATATATATATATATATATATATATATATATATATATATATATATATATATATATATATATATATATATATATTATATATTATTGACCTTCACACACAAAGACACACATATGCACATACGTACACACGCACATAAATGTATTACAAGATAGTAATTTTGCAATAAAAAAGTTTTTTTTATAAGGTCTTTTATTTTATATATGTATATATTTATAAGTATATATATATATATATATATATATATATATATATATATATATATATATATATATATATATATATATATATATATATATATATATATATATATATATATATATATATATATATAGCATTTTATTTTATGCAATAGTTTAATGCAATGTTATAGGTAATAAACAAATCAATAAGTTAAACTAGATCTGCTATATCACATTATATTAAGAGTAGTTAAACAAGATTAAACTAAAATTCACACAATAAGTAATGCTGAAAATAGTAAATATTTTATAAATACAACTTTGAAAATGCAATACACTTTAGTGAGGATTGATGTTGGACATAAGTCTTGGAGAATAAAACTGATATAGAAAATTTATATCTAGGTATATCGAAAGCTTTCCACACATTTCACAACTATCTCTAAAATTAAAAGCTTATAGAATAGATAACAAACTATACAATTGGATTTGAATGTTACCTAAGAGATTGGCATTAGAGTATCAATGTTGGTGGTACATACTCAGAATGGATAATAGTAAATAGTGGGGTCCCCCATTATATACTTTTATGATATATATTAACGATTTTTCTGATTTGGTTTTAGATGTTGTATCTGTATTTATATATGATACTAAGTTATACAGTTTGCTTTTTGATAGCTCACCATGTATTAATATGCAAAAAAGTATGGACATTATAGCAAACTGGGCAAAACTATGAAAGCTGAGTTTTAATGTAAAAAAATGTCAAGTTATGCCCTTAGGACCAACAAATACAAAAATCATTTATATACTCGTCGATATCTTGCCTTCAGGCTGCCATACGTAAAGTCACGCTTGTAAAAGTAACTGAAAGCAGCTGAAAATAAGAATTTTTTGGTAATTGTCTTATTTACAATATTGTTTTTGTTTTATTTACAGTATTGTCTTTATTTTTTATCTAAACAGCTATGTTTGACTCAAATATAGTAAATGTTGATTGTTTAGTATGGTTTCATCTCTTCTTTATACTTTTTTTTGACAGTTATGAGAGTGCTTTAGAACAGAATTATCTGTGCCTCCAGCTTAAAAGTGACACTGATGAGATGTCACTTTTAAGTGACATCTCATCAGTAAGATGTCCCTCAAAATTGAAGAAATCTTAAATGCATTAGGGTTAAGTGATTCCATCAGAGCTACGCTTGACTATCTCTTTCGATTTATTGAATTTATTTGCCGGTTATGAGAAAAAAAGATCTTCTAAACCTCGAAGAAAAATTATGGAACAAAGACACCATATGAATCAATAGTATCAGTAAATTGATATTAGTTAATAGTTTTTGGAAACAGTACCATGTACTATTAAAGTTTCTAATTTTTAAAACATATGATACATTTATATGTAACATACAAACAAATGATACAATATGATACGTGATTGACTATAATTATGTTGTATATTAGAATGTTTTATGTAAATGCTTATTTCATTTTATTGTGATTTTTATCTTTTATGCCCAGTTAGCAATGTATTTTGTGTAGCAATGACTACTAATCTCAGATATCTATGACATCTGTAGGGTGTATTCACCGCTACAGATGTCATAATCTATTTATAACCAATTGCTTTTACTCTTCCATAATGTCATATTTTAAAAAGAATCACATTATTGAAGACCGTCTAATACATACACATGAGGAACCATTATACTTTTAGTACAATCAATTATATTATATTTATTTTCTTATTTTAGATGAACTTTCTTACTTCGGTTGGAGGAGATGAGAAATAACTTACAGCAGCAATCTTAATACAGTTAATGGCCAATGAAGTCTGTTTTTTATACTCAATGTATGGAAGGAAACAAAAATGTCCTGCAAGGTCGTTATAGGTAAAGCACAATATTTGTATTCTACATCCCATTTCCTTTTAATAAATAAATATTTTAATAAAAGCTTATTATTTTACAATATTTATACGTGAAAAGTTATATACTTCAAAATTATATTGTGATAATATTGAAAAAACATTTTTTAGATTTGCGTTTAGTCATTTATCGTTGTATTCGTTTATTTTGAAATCGCTACTGACAAAAGTATTAAAGAAAAAATTGGCAGCTTTCTGGCGACGGCCATTAATAAAGATTACGGAAGAAAAATAGAACCGTAACTGAGCAACGCCCAATATTGAGCAATGAAATAAGTATTGCCAAAATAATGAAAGTCGTTGCCCACTATCTCATAGTGAGAGTATAATACAGTAGTTTATATATATATATATATATATATATATATATATATATATATATATATATACATATTTTTTGTACCTGTATTTAGATAGCATTGATTTTATTTTGTTATATTTTGGTTTTGGAAAACTCTATACCTCTTGTTTTTATTTGTATCTGTTTCATATAACTTCAATAAATTTAATGATTTCGATTTTTTTTTTTTTAAAGCGTGTTCTATGATCATTGTCATCTCTTAGACTATAATCTGTTTAACTCAAAAGAATAATGCAGTTATTGGCCAATATTGGCAAAATGTTCACATTGCAACATTGGCACGAAATAGTTTACAATATTGCGCCAATATTGTAAACAATATCGCACTAATATTGCGCCAATATTGTTTGCTACTAGGGTATAGTCATCATTCGTTAAAAACGGTATAAAATAAAGTATATAGTTGCAAAAATAAACATAATAAAAGCCATAAAATTGTAAACAAACTTCCTATATATACAAAAAGATTTATTAAAAATTATTTTACCAAATGTCAAATATAACAAAAGAAACCGGTAAATCATATTAAATTATGAGTCATTTTAACATGGTTTACTTGTTTATTCATATCGGGTTTTTCCCATCCTATGTAAATGCTTTCTTTAATTTTTAATTCAATTTTGTTTTTAGCACGATCCAAAATCGAAAAGCATTCATCATTATGATTTTTAAAACATTTTTTTTTTTGAGTGAAGATATTTATAAATAAGAGAGTTTTTATCTCTTCTGTAGTGTTCAATCACTCGGGTCTTTAGGTGGCGAGAGGTTTCGCCAATATAACAGGATTTGTAGACGACAAATGATTTAAAATCTACTGGAAGGTGATCTTTAGATAAAAAAAAAAACACTTTTAACGAAGTGAATACTAATTTTACGGTAACCGATGTCTCTTTATAATTGCATGTAATCTTCGTTTCGTTAGCTCAGATATTCGACCAACATAAGGGAGTTTGAAATAGCGTGAGTTTGTAAGGTCTTCAGACAGTAATAGAACGACATAATTATCTTTATTTAAGTAAGAGTTGTGGATTTTTTCTATTGGACAAGATGGGTAGGGGAACCTGTTGTACCTTTGACCACGTTGTACCTTTGGTCACTCTACTCTGTCGAATTACTATTATTATTTTCAAAAAACGTGAAGTGCCATTTGAAACAATAGTTCATGACAACTCTTTTTACCGTAAAACATCATACTTGGGATAGATGGTATTGATCCACAAGTAATTATAAGTTTTGGCTCTTAAAAAGTAAATATTTGTGTTAACCTTTTTCTGATTTTAAAAATGTGATAAATTGTTGTTTGATTCATCTACGACATTATAAATATTTCCCAACATCATTTTTTTGTTATGGAAAAGTTTGGATGGTTATTTCTGACCGTAAATGGGGATTAAGACGACAATTGTTAAAGAAACCCATCTCGTGTACCTTTGACCAGACTAGAACGTTGTACTTTTGACCGACAAAAACTGTTTCCTTGTTAATTTGCGGACTTTAAGAGCGCAAATTTATAAAATTTATATCTACTTTATTAGGCGTCTGAACTCTATTGCTTTTTAATGCAAAATTGTTTCTAGTATAATGGTAATGAAATAATTCCATTGAGTTTTAATGCAATTAACTATTTATTCTTGGACCACTACTACATTTAGAATAATCAATTTTGTTAATTTAGTTAGTTGGATAGCTGAAGCAATGTTATTATCAAGTTCATTTTATTACCTAATTTCTGCACAGCTAGGAATTAAATGTATAAAAATAGTTAACTCTGTTAATTTATTTTAGTCTTAAAATGCCAAGAAGCAAGGTTGGTGTTTTTCGCCAAAAGATTTCCGAAACGGATATGCTTAATCATTAAGCATTTTTTGTTGAAGCACAAAATTCGCTGCATTAAGTTAATGCAGTGAATTTTGTGCTTCAACAAAAAATGAGTTTAAGTAAAGCTCCAAGACATTGCAACATTAAAAAATCATCTTTAATATACCAGTTAAAGCAATTTAAAAATTCTGGTAGTTGCGAATATTTATATTCGCATACCAAACCAAGAAAAATATTCTCAACAGAAGAAGAATTAATATTGGTAAACTACTTGGTAGATGCTGCAAATATGCATTATGGACTAACATTAAAGCAGATAAGGTCCTTTGCATATGAGTATGCTTTAGAAAATCATAAAAAAGTTGAAACTTCATGGATAAAATATAAATGTGCAGGTGAACAATGGCTACGAGATTTTCGCAAAAGATATAATAACAAGCTATCTCTACGTAAACCACAACCTACAAGTCTTGGTAGATCTTCTGCATTCAATAGAGAAACCGTAAAAATTGTATATAAAAATTACAAAAATGTTTTAGAACGTTATCATTTTGATCCATCAAATATTTGGAACTGTGATGAAACAGGAATTACCACAGTTCATGTACCACCAAAAATTCTAGCTCCAAAAGGCAAAAAACAAATAGGGAGCATGACTAGTGCTGAACAAGGCAATAATGTAACAATGATTGCAGCCATTAATGCTGCTGGAAATAGCATCCCACCATTACTTGTTTACCATCAACATAATCTATTGTTTTAGGGGAAATCCCTACTGTGAGTTTACCATCAAAATCATTTATTGTTTCACCTGAGATAATACGACCTCATCCTAAAGCCAAATTAAAAAAAACAAATACTTCAAAAAGACGTAAAGGAAAATCACGTATTTTAACTGATACACCTGAAATTAAAGTTATTTTAGATGCAAAATCTAATAACCAACAATTTAAAAAGTCCTCTTCAAGCAAAAGAAAAAAAATGGCAAAACAGATTATTTTTAGTCAGTCTGACATGTGTTTAAATAAGGAAAGCTCTGATGAAATTGATTTTGGAGTAAATATACTTGATGATGAAAGTGAAATTGTTTCTGGAAGTTTTTTAATTATCAAGTTGGTCGGAAAGAAATACTCTAGACTTTATGTAGCAGAAGTTATAGAAGTTGTTGGTATAGTTTACAAAATTAAGTATCTAAAGAAATCAGGAGACTTTTGTAACAAATTTATAATAGGAAGATGACAATCTTTATGAAGTGGAACTTGAAGATATTATTATGAAACTTCCATCTAAACTTCATATCTTATGTTTGATGTTGATCTGACTATTTGTAATAATTAATATATTATACTCTTTTATTATTGTTTTTTTTTGTTGTCATCATCAAAATATTTCCTTTAAAAAGCATTATGATCATATGTAAATGAATATAGATCGCCAGCTGATATAAGTTATAAAAATCTATTTTTGCTCTTTTCTTATCTTAAATAATAAAAATAACTATAGATATTAGAAAACATATTTTGTACAACTAAATCGCATTTAAAGTTTTGGACCTTAACCCTAAATATTTCATGTAAGTAGCATCTAACTGAAAAAAATATGTGACATTATCTAAATAGTTAAAATAACTGATTTTATTTTAAAAAATTAGTAACACTATTAGTAATACTGACTGAGTATCGTAACTTCGATAAACGAGTCTTGGCAATATTGTAAGGATTTTTTTAGACAATTAGGATTGGTTACAAAATAATAAGATTTGTTTTTTTATTGACAAAGGTAGGCCAGAAGTTGCTATATAACATATAACAAGCTAAAATATTAAAGAGGTTCAAACATTGCATGATTTTTTAATAATAACAGTTTGGTCAAAGGTACAACGCGCATCGGTCAAAGGTACAACATATGTGTTGTACCTTTGACCAAAAGACTTTTTTTTTTTAAACGCGGGAAAAAGATACTTCTTAGTCAAATGAAAAAAAAGTCCTAAGTATAATTTTTTGGCAAAATATGAAAGAATATTATATAGTTTAAATGGTCTAAGTTTACTCAATAGACTACGCAAAAAACGCCTTAAAGCAAAAAGTGGTCAAAGGTACAACAGGTTCCCCTACATAGTACGTTTGAGAATTTTGAAAAGATTTCTAATGTCATAGCGGAGACCATAGGTAGTGTTGTTAATTTTGAAATTTTATCAATTAAACATTTTATAAGACTTATTTTATATAAAAACGAAGTAAAGCTGTAAAAGTTGGTGTATAATCCGGTAAAAGTTTTTTTTATGAAAAACTGTTGTAATTGTTAAACTGCTCGACTTACATAGAGTTATGTTCAAAAAAGATATTTTTGAGTTTTCTTCCTTTTCCATGGTTAAAGATATTGAAGAATGTTTTTTTTTTTAATACAATCCAAGAATAAAATTGCGTGATTTTCTGAGGGGAAAGCAGCAAAAATGTCATCTACATAACGTTTGTAAAACAACGGTTTTTTTCCATTATAAGATTTGACCCATTTTACTTCAAAATTACCCATAAACAGATTAGCAAGTACAGGTGTTAATGGAAAACCCATAGCAAGTCCATCAATTTGGTCATAAACCTGTGCTTTAAAGTGAAAATGCGTTTGTGCTGTTGCGAAAAGAAAGAGTTTTATTTGTAATATTTTTTATGATAACATCGACAGCAATATCTATTGTTTCTTGTAATGGGATGTTTGTGAATAAACTTGTGATATCAAAAGATACAAGAAAGCTGTTAAAAAGGTTTCGTTTACTTCTTTAGCAAAAGTAAAAGAATCTTTAGTACAAAACTCAGAGGGTATTAATGGAGATAATAAATCTCGAAGAAATCTAGCCAAATGATAGTTCTAAGTGCCAATAGACAATACAATAGGTTGAAAACCTATATCATAATCAGAAGACTTTAATTTGTGCATTTTCGAAAGACCGTATATGCAAACAGGACGAGAGCCTGTAGGATAAATTTTATTATAACTTGAATCATCAAAGAAATCTTGACTTTTTAGTTTTCTTAAGAAGTTTTGAAGTTGCGTTTCCCTATTGATGGTGACGTCTTTTTTTAAGTGTTTAGTTGGATCATTAATAATATTGTAAATCCCGTTGTCATAAACCTTCCTATCTAATATAACAACACCATTTCCTTTATCTGGTTTTAAAATGA